CTTTGCCAGGTAAATGCTAAGATAACTGCTGATTATCCCCAGTACTTACAAAGTGATAGCAGATAAGCCTAATAGAATTTGAATTTAAATGGCTGTAGGTTGGTTTTTTTTTTAACCTTCCTTTTCCACCTCTGTGAAGTGGAAATTCTGCAGTCATCAACAGAAAAAGTATACATTCAGACTTAGGCCATACTTTGATTATCAAGCATGCTTAGTGTATCAGTTCTCCAAGAACAATTACAACATGAACTGGATCAGGCATGCTGAACTGTCCAAAAACCTGAATAAAAATATTGCTCATAGACAGGTGCCAGTGGCTCACACCTGTAACCCTAGCTACTCAGGAAGCTGAAATCTGAGGGTCGTGGTTCAAAAACAGACTGGGCAGGAAAGTCCATGAGATTATATCCAATAAACTACCCAGAAAAGGCTAGATATGGAGCTGTGGCTCAAGTGGTAGAGTGCTAGCCTTGAGCACAAAGAAGCTCAGGGACAGCACCCAAAATCTGCGTTCAAGCCCCAGGACTGGCAAAAATAAACAAACAAACAATAAAGCTGTCCACTTAGTTATAATAATAGTTACTCAACAACAATTGTTTCTAACATATTTATAAGATGATTTCTATGTTGCTTTGTATGTCCCTCCCCCACGGTATAACCCCTGCTTTCATTGTATTTGATGTTGGTATAATTTGTGGAGGGGAGGGAAAAAAACAAATCATTTAAATAGGGATACAGGTGGACTCATTGTAACAATGAGATGAACAAGTTGTTATGTCAAAAAATGAACTTTACAACTTTGGTGGGGGAGGAGGATCGGGTTGGGAGAGGTGGGAGGAATAGTAAGGGAAGGGATGGGAAAGGGTAACAAAGAGGAGGCAACAATGCTTGATAAGAAATGTACTCATTATCTTGCCCAGGTAATTGTAACTCCTCTGTACGGTATTCTCACAATAATAATAATAAAAAAAAACCTACAAGTTAGATCAATTTATTGGGATACCTAGAACATACTAAAAAAAACTGGAAAATTCTGCAGACTGAACACAGCAACATACAGCATTTTCCTAAATCATATCATATACACTGTGTGCATATGTGTGCTTGTCCACATGTGTACCGTGTGTGTTGGTGAGGGCTCAATCAACTGTTAGTTCTTGCATGCTATCTCCTAGTTACATTATTGAGGACCTGTAATAAAAGTGAAGGACAGCCGGGTGCCAGTGGCTTTTGCCTGTAATCCTAGCTACTAGGGAGGTTGAGATTTGAGGATCATGGTTCAAAGCCAGCCAGGGCAGGAAAGTTTGTGAGGCTCTTATCTCCAATTAACTACCAGAAAACCAGAAGTGGCATTGTGGCTCAAGTGGTAGAGCACTAGCCTTGAGCTGAAGAGCTGAGGGACAGCGCCCAGGTTCCAGAGTTCAAGCCCACAACCAATGACAGCAACAACAAAAAAGAAAGCAAGAAAGAAAGAAAGAAAGAAAGAGAGAGAGAGAGAGAGAGGGAGGGAAGGAGGGAGGGAGGGAAGGAGGGAGGGAGGGAAGGAGGGAGGGAGGGAGGGAGGGAGGGAAGGAGGGAGGGAGGGAGGGAGGGAGGAAGGAAGGAAGGAAGAAAGAAAGAAAGAGAGAGAGAGAGAGAGGGAGAGAAAGAAAGACAGACAGACAGACAACCACTACTCTCCAGAAAATATAGTCTGCTGGAGCAGTGCTTCTCAAACTGTTAATATGCATACAGATCACAAGAGGAATTTGTTAATATGCCAATTTTCATTCAATGCATCTGTGATAGGGTGCATCTACCACATGTCCTTTTGCTGTCTGTGTTGTTAGCATTTCAGTAGGAAGGTATTAAAACACAGGTGTGCTACATCACACAAACAACTAACTGTATGCTTGTGAAAGCACTATGAAGAAAAAAAGTGCAGGGGCAAGAGATCAAAGAAAGCATCAAACCTAATCTCTCTCTCTCAGGCTAGGAGAAGGGATAGGACTTTTAAGATAAAAGCTAGAATGGTAGAATGTAGCAGGCTAAGGGATTAAGACCATCAGTGGGTAAATCTCTTCACATTCTTCTACAAATGCGTGTTTTTGAGATGCCAGGGTATGCTTGGCTTGTGCTGGGGGGTTGCTAGAAATGTCTAAAGCCACATAATCTTGAGTTTCTGGCTGAGGAGAAGTAGATTGTAAATATATATTCTAGCTTCATCATCCTTTAATGAAACATGCTGAGTAGTGTCTCTCGGAGGGTTCCCAGAAAAATCAATCTCTTTTTATCCACAACTTCCTCCCCCCCCCCCCCCCCCCCCCCCCCCCCCCGTCTCACATTGAACTAGAATTTTATTTATTTGTGTGTTTATTTATTTGGTACTGAGGATTGAACTCAAGGTCTTTCACTTGAGCCATGTCCCCAGCCCTTTTGCCTTTGATCTTTTTAGATGGGATCTCTCTCTTTTGACAATGGGTTGACTTCAGATCATGATTTGTCTTATGTGTGCCTCTTGAGTAGCTGAGATTACAAGCTTGAGCCACCATATAAAAGAGCCTGTAGATTTACATTTGTTATTATCAGTCTTTTAAATAGTATCCTGTAATGTTCTTAATAAATATATTATTTAAAAATCAAAGATTTTGTGTATTTACAAGGTTTTTCAGATATGTGAATTACTTCTAAAATGTTAGTGTTATGTAGATCAGTGTGAAGCAATTGATTAGAAAATGCTATGTCTTACTCTGAGCAAATGTCTTCCTCCTAATTCTCACACCATTCTAGGCATGGTCAGGACTATGATATATGTTATTATGGTCTATATATCTCTCTCTTCTGATGTCCCATTTTTCTACAGAGAATACCAGAAAGTGACGTCACTAATACTTACTCTAGAAACCCAAACTCATCCTAAGTGACTCAAAATAGCTAAACCTGGCACCAGTGGCTTATGCCTGTAATCCTAGCTGCTCAGGTCCAATCCAGGCAAGACAAATCCATGAGACTCATCTCCAATTAACCAACAAAATGGCAGAATTGGAGCTATGGCTCAAGTTGTAGAGATCTAGCTTTGAGGGGAAAACAACAACAAAACAAACAAACAAACAAACAAAAACCCCTCAGCGACATCACCCAGTCCCTGAGCTCAAGCCTCATGACTGGCAGCATAATATTTGGAATTTCCATTTACTATTTATTTTTAAAAGGTTTTATTGAACTATACTACACTCACCAATCACAGCCATAAGATTGAAAAGTCATATAGATCTAGCCCAAATGCTAAAATATGTTCAAAGTTCATTCAATTGAATTTCTGGATTTTCATATCTTTTTCTTATAAAGCATCAAATTACTTGATTTAAATGCAGAGTCCTGTTTAAATATCTAAGACACTTGCAAGAAGGGAATAATGAATGTCTTCTACATTGGGAAACAGGAAGAGAAGGAAAGAGATGCTGTGGTAAAACCACACATAAGCAAGAGCAAGTATTATGGATGATTCATGATGTTTACTATGACTTGCTAAGATGCATGGAATTTTCAGGAGGAAAATGAGAGTGATGATAGCAGTAAATAAATAAATACAATGGGAATATTATCCTAGCACCTTCTTTCTCTCCCCTCATTCATGTGAACAGTCAATGAAGTAGGTCAAAATGAGTCTGAAAGAATGCTGATGTGCACTAGTCATGAATGGCAACTTTCATTCTGATTATAGATATTTTAAAACATCATGAAGTTTAAGAGAAGTTAGTTGAAACAGCTTTTGAACTTTCTGAATACAGTATTTTTTTTGTTACTCCCAGCTAAGATAGCAGATGATTTATTTTCTAAAGTGCTATAGAATTGTCTAAGTTGCTTTAAAAAGAGTCCTTATACCTGGCACCAGTGGCCTATGACTGTGATCCTAGGTACTGGAGGTTGAGACCTGAGGATCATAATTCAAAGTTAGACCACCAGAAAAGTTGTGAAATTCTTTTCTCCAATTAATCACAAAAAAGAAAGGTGTTTAGTTCTAATGTAAAGATGTTTAGCTCTAATGTTCCAAGTGAACGTTATAAGCATTGGCACTTAATTGTAGAGAAACATTATAATAGTTTAAGGTTAAAATCTCAGATCACACAGACAGCAATTGTTCTCCAACATTCATTACCAAGAGCATGAACTCTACAAGCTTGGAGAAGTTATGAAGCAATGTAATGGTAAGACAACCTAAAAATCTAACTGATTTACGAACTTTTTTCCCATTTGGATGTGGAAATACATCTTCTTCTCAAAACATGGAACATGGAACATCTCAAAGAGAAACAAATGAGGCCAATGCTCACAGAAAAGGCAGGGTGTTGCATTTAAAACTGCCAAGGGAATTCTCAAGCACAATTAGCACGTCTTTATTTCCTTGGATAAAGTAGGGAAACAGAGTCCAACAAAGAGATGAGAAGTTAAATAATGCTGTCTCTGTTGTAGCCTGGAGAGGCAGAGTTGTCACTTGATTCCTCTACCCCTCTTACACACACAAGGCACAGGAAATCTCCAGAAGACTGGAACTGTCTACAAATGATTCTGACGCCAAGACAGAAACACAATGGGTGGGTGTAGCCTGATGGCCACAGGCAAGTTCCTTTCTCCAGGTCTTCCTGCCAACTTTCATGCATGGGTTTCTGGGATCCAAGGTCCTTAAATGCCCTAAGCTGCAACAAAAAAAAACCCATTCCCTTCCTCTTGGTGGCAACTTTTTGTTTTCTCCTGATCCTGATAGATTGTGTTCCCAGTGCCCAGGCGCCGGCTGCATTCTTGACCCCTGAAGAAATCAGACTGCTCGGGGCTTGGCAGAGCTCTGGTCACATTTCCTGTCGGTGGCCTAAGGGAACTGTTGGCCGCCTTGATGGGGCTCGGGTGGGGACTTGTGGCGGTTGGGGGGTGGGGGGGGGATGACAGAGGGCGGAGAAGAAGGAAGGGGAGGAGAAACGGAATGGGGGGGGGGGACTGGTTCTGGAGGGCAGTGACCACAATCCAGAGACAGCTCTGCGCTCTGGGGAGGGACCAACATAAGCTGGGAGCCGCCTTGGACACAGGGCCTCAAAGATGAGGCCCGCACTTGCCTTGTGCCTCCTCTGCCAGGTATTCTGGCCCAGACCGGGCGGTGGCGAGCATCCCAAGGCCGATCGAGCAGGCTGCTCGGCGTCGGGGGCTTGCTACAGCTTGCACCACGCGACCATCAAGCGGCTGGCAGCCCAGGAGGCCTGCAACCTGCGCGGCGGGACGCTCAGCACGGTGCACGGGGGCGCGGAGTTGCGGGCGGTGCTGGCGCTCCTGCGGGCGGGTCCCGGGCCCGGAGGCGGCTCCAAAGACCTTCTGTTTTGGGTGGCTCTGGAGCGCGGGCGATCCCACTGTACGCTAGAGAACGAGCCATTGCGAGGCTTCTCCTGGCTGTCCCCCGACGCCGGCGAGTCTGACAGTGCCACGCTGCCGTGGGTGGAAGAGCCACAGCGCTCCTGTACGGTGAGGAGTTGTGCGGGACTCCAGGCCACCCGCGGGATCGAGCCTGCAGGTTGGAAAGAGATGCGATGCCATATGCGCGCCAATGGCTACCTGTGCAAGTACCAGTATGAGAACTTGTGTCCCCCGCCCCGTCCTGGGGCCGCCTCAAATTTGAATTTCCGCGCTCCGTTCCGGCTCAGCAGCTCCGCGATGGACTTCAGTCCTCCGGGGACCGAGGTGAGTGCCACGTGCGGCGGGGAGCCGCCCATCACGGCCACCTGCGTGGCGGAAGAGGCTGGCGCGCGCTGGGACGGGCTGTCCCCCGACGCAGTGCTCTGCCCCTGTCCCGGGCCGTACCTCCGCGGGGGCCAATGCGCACGGCTTTCCGACTGCCTGGACGACTCCGGAGGCTTTGTCTGCGAATGTGCTGAGGGCTTCGAACTGGGGAAGGATGGACGTTCTTGTGTGACCAAAGGGGAAGGGCAGCCAGCCCCTGGGGGGTCCCACGTACCCAGCAGGAGCGTGCCAGTCACTGAGGCCAGTCTGGGGCCAGAGAGAACATGGTCACCCCGAGTCCGCGAGGAGTCCAGTGTCACTGGACGAGGCATTTCTGCGACATCTATTCCTGACATTCTTCCGTGGGGACCACACAGCACCATAACTACCCTGCAACTGTCCCCGCAAACCACCCTAGCGGGAAGTGTGGACCCTGGGCTTCATTCTACCGTTTCCATTCCAAAGGGCTTTGACTACTCCTCCACTGTGGTCTTCATACTCGTAAGCATAGCTGTGGTGGTATTGGTGATCTTGACCATGACAGTGCTAGGTCTTTTCAAACTCTGCTTTCACAAGAGCCCTTCCTCGCAGCCAAGGAAGGGAACTTTGGGTTCACCTGGCGAGGAGAGTGATTCAGAGGCCACTGCCTTACGCTCCAATTCTGCACATTGCCTGGACAATGGAGTGAAGGCCAGGGATTGCAGTGTGTGGGCTCAAGCACAAGATGCCTCCCCGTCCAGGCACTCTCTTGGCTCCGGGAACACTTAGGGACAACAGAGGACGTGGACTGTTCTTGCAGACTTTTCAGAGTTTACTTGTGGAATTACAATTCCTACAGTCATTCCCAGTCCAATCATTTTCCTCCGGTCCACCTAGGAGCCATGCTATTGCATTTGAATAGCTTGCTCAGTCCTAGGAACTGGAAGAGGTTAAGTGCCTGAGGGTGGGTCTGGAGGGCAGGGTCATTAGGGAGGAGATATTTGGTGATGTTTCTGAGGAATTTGGAGAAGCAGCAAATAGAAAACAATATAATGTTTGGAAAGTTAATTTTTTTCCCCCAAAATAGAAAAGTGTTCAGACTGGGAATATATTTGCTTGAAAACTTCCAGACCAAAAAAATAAAAATAAATAAACAAAGGATTTTTGGCAACCCAGATTCAAATATATTTGGCTTTGGTAAGAAATAATTATTTAAGAAAAGAGCATGATGGACATCACTACTAGGGGACATGGTACTTTTAAATTGAAAGGAAAATCCTTAAGCCCTTGTAAGAAGGAAAAGATCTTTCAGAACTAGTAACTTTTCCTTTTGTTCTTTGTCCTTTGCTTTCAAAGTCACTGCTACTTGTGTGCTTTGCTATAAATCCAACATGTAGTGTTGCCAGACACTGGCTTTGGAAGCAAATTACAGTTGACCACCAATTCAACTGTTTATTGTGTGTCCTTGCCCAAGGAAACAAATGATTTGTGTTTCTTTCTTTCCAATGTGTTCGACAGTGTAATGACCTCTCCAACCAAATCACCACCTCTTCAACATCAGGATGCTGATCCTCACTTTTAATTATGCTGATGTTAATTCTCAATTAAAACGTTAATGCTAATTATTGATTTGAAATCTTCTGGGTGCATTTGAGTATAAGTAAGCTGGGTTTTCTCCAAAGTTGCTAAATTCTTATGCATTTTTAATCTAGAAGCAAAAGTGGAGTGCCAAACTCTTCCACTTCTCTTTTTAATAAATGTGATAATGCATGTTCATCTTGGAATGATTACAAAATATGGTCACTTCTTTGCATAGAAGTGAGAGAATAAGAAAGAAATGATAAAAGCCTATCATGTTGTTGTGACTTGGGGTGTTAGAAAGTAATGAAAATGAAGCCTTCTGCTGAAAAATAACTAAAGACATAATTAAAATCACTAGTGGAATCCAGGTCCCTAGGAAACTGCTCATTTTTATTCATATGCTGACTTCAAAAATGTTGTAGAGGTTGACACCTCTGTTGTGGAGAGACAGAGAAACAAGTCTCCTTGTGGGAGAAACAGGAAAAAGTCATATTTTCCTAGAATTATTTTTACTTTCTTGAGTATACTATGCTCATACTTAAATATTTAGGTTTAAAATGAGTGAATGTCCAGTGATAAAATAATCTACTAGAAAATTAAGACAGTTCAATCCATAAATCTATGTTCTAAATTTATGTAGCTGATATAGTAATATCAGAGGAATGAAATAATGGATTATTTGCCTCATCTAATAAATATATTTATAAATAATAACATTTAAATATAGTCACAGATGATTGGAATTAACAATATATGATAGAAATTTAAGTACCATAGTTTCACAAGTGAAAACTGACCAATATTATAAATGCCTTACTCACATCCTCCAGCTCATCAGAATTCACCTGCCTTGGCTGTCATGGCTTTCCTCTTCATTATATGATCTGTCAGTAGAGAAGGTTAACTACTTGAGTGGAGTAGACATAATGCTGTCTTTACTAACTTCAAAATAGTCTCATCTATAACTGAACTGAATATGTATACATATAAATGTATGTATATGTGGAAATGCATACCCATACATATCCTTTTTTTAAAAGGATGCTCTTGGATGATTGCTTCAATAAAATAGACCATGTGTAATTAACTCATTATGCAACAGATGACATTATGGATCTTTGGCTCTAATTGCCCTGGTGAAGAAGAAATAGGTGTCGCCTCAATTGTCCCCTTATTTCCTCTTATAAGTGAATCAGGAAAGAATTATATCAGGGACTATTGTCTCCTCTTATTTCCTCTTATAAGTAGATCAGGAAAAAATTATAGGAAGATGTTTGTTTTTATCTTTGATTCCCTGGCAGATAATAACTTCAGAGAGTCACTGCTTTGCACAGAATTTCCTTTGCTTTGTGTCTATTTGATTTCTTCCCTAAAATATTGATTGCACAGCAGAGTCAAAACTGTTGGACATGAGCTCTTAAGAGTCTTTCAGAAGTTAGGGTCAATGTCCTTCCTCCCTAATATTTACTTAAAAGCTTCTGGAGCCATGTTCATCTTCTAGTTTCCTGTTCACTTATTCCTTATAATGAAGACTGAGAATCAACTCTGCAGTCCTTCATTCCATCCTAAACACTGTCATTTCCTCAGAAAAACCATCTTGCCTGACTCCTTAATGTATGCGCTTTTTGGTTCTCTGACTTCCTTGTTTCCGGTGACTTCCATTTCATTTCAGCTGTGCACTCCATGGCCATATTCTTTGAAAACTCCAAGTCTGTTCTGCCTCTTGCAATGACCGCAAGGTCAGTGCTTTTCACAGCTACTTTGAAAGGTGACTTTTTCTAAGGGTTCCTTAGTGCTAGAGAGGTGAGATGGAAATAAGACAAATTAAGATGTGACAAAACTCACTTTTCTTATCCAGACTGACCTATTTTTCTCGAGCAGACACTTCTTGAACTATTCGTAGCCTTTCATTAATTCCAAGAGTCCTGAAAATTTTGAGTTTGACATTTTTCCCCCATCAGGTTCCTCATTAAGTAGAGCGGATTTTCAGAAAACTCATTCTACCGTGAGAAAATGCCATCAGTGTGTTTCTTTTACATATCTTATCTCTTTAGACTTCTTCATTCTGGAAAAATTCCCCAGTCTCTCCTTGACTTCTAAGATATTAATAGTTGGAGAGATAATATGCTTGTTATTTTTGTGTGATGCTCTTAAATTAACGTTTGTTTCCTCATTCAAGCTACATGTACTTGTCTGGAATATTGAGAAAGGGTGCTTTGTTACCTTATCTCCCTAGAAGTTGGCAGATGATTTAAAGATTTTCTTGTTTTTTTTTTTTCCCCTTTGAGGATTTTTCTACTAGACATTCTTCTTTTGTGATTAATAAGCACTTAGTAGGCAGATAATTTGAGACTATGTGAATATCCTGTTTCTTTTAATATTTTCACTTACTTATATCAGTGTATAGTCATGTCTTTTCATTTTATTCAATAGGAAGCTAGTGTTATTGTTTATTTTGATATTCAATCATCTCAAGTTTGTGTAGTATGGCCCCCTTTCAGCTTGTCTCTTGTGGTCTAACAGGTCCTCAACATTCCTTGGAAAGTTTAGTGCAGGTTTGTAATCTTCTCTGTTTATGTTTAAGAAACTCTAGTCATTTTTAGAGGAAAATGATCATCAGAAAACATGATTTGTGTATAGGTTCTTGTCCCTAGATTTCTCCTTAATAGAGTTAGGGTATGTAGGGGTGTGTGTGTGTGTGTGTGTGCGCGCGCTTATGTGTGTAAATATACATACAAATTGGCTTAAAATGCATAAATATATTTGAAACTATAATTTCCAATATAATTTTTTTATCTATACTGTATTTACATTTAAAACTATGATGTACATTAGTATTATCTCATTTGAATTCAGTGTTTTTTGGTTTTGGGGTTTGTTTGGTTTCTTTGGTTTTGTTTGTTTGCTAATCCCGGGGCTTGAAGTGAGGGCCTGGTCTAATTCTAATTCAATACACAGGGTTCAGTCTCCTTATTATGATTAATATCATAATCTCTGGTCCCATACAGCATCTGGGGTCACTAGCACTGGTTGTATAAAACCTCTTCTCATTGAACTTGGCCTCTACAAAGCCAAGTACTCAGATTCCAAATCTCTGTGCATGAACAGAATGGCTCATCCTTCTACTGCTATGGACTCTGACCTTGCTTGGCCCTACCTACTCATTGGTCTTTTGTTTGTGTCTGAAATGTTTAGAAAAGGAAAGGAAGAGGAAGAAACATAGAATTCCTATGGCAATGTAGCCTTGCTCCATCTATCATATTCATGTACTTTCCCTTTTCAAAGCTATTTAGACCAAACTTTTCCTTTCTCTTTATTTGGTAACCCCAAATTCGTCCTTCAGGCAAAAATAGGACATCATTTTACTGGAAAGAAGTTTCCAAAAATCCACCTGCAGGATAGGATCTAGTGTTATACAACTGCATTACATTACCTCCCATGTAAGTTTGGTTGTTGCTCAATAGATATTCTAACCACCCTGTTTATACCACCTTGTTTATATGAAATAGCCTATACTTCAGAACTCTTGTGGTTATTTAGAAAGATTGAATGCATGTAAATATACCACCTTCAAATGTAAAATAAAAAAAATAGAATAGTAAAATGAAAAGTAAAAGTAAGAAATAGATAAATTAAAATTAAAATTAAAAATTAAAAATACAACAGCCTATATACTATAGGCCAACAATTCAGAGTTTATCATATTAAAAAAGTTCCTAAATATAAGTTCCTTTCAGTATCTACCTTCTATCAAAAAAATCTTATTAATATTAAGTTAAAATAAAACTATGTTCTTGGACAATATTTTCCACAATATAGCTAGTTAGATGAAATATCTCCACTTAAATGTTAATTCTCTTAGTAATCTAGAGATATATTTAGCAATAATTCACATCAGAGGACATTATGTGAAGTCATACTATTGAGTGTTAAATACTTCACAGGAACATTACTTGTCTCTCTCCTTAGTCAAACTGAACATTGACTAATTCATAGCTAGATGCTAATTAACCCAAGAAAATAATCATTAGGGCTTTTTTCTTAGATCATGGTATCTTTTTTATAAAATATGAAGTATGCAAAAATATATGGTATATATAATCATTTTTATTTGTATGTGTAATATATTGATATCTTATTAGCATTAGAAAATGTAGGCTAAAGAAAAAATAATTCTATTAAAATATCTTGTTTCACCAGAGATGTAGCTCAGTGGTAAAATATTTTTATTTCCTTATAATGAATCAACTTTTTGTTCCCACCTAATATTGATTAATTCAATGTGAATAAATATCCTATGTGATAATATCTGCTTTACTGAGTCTGAGTTGAAATTAATCAATTACATATTAAAAAGTACTATTTTCTGGGTGCTGGTGGCTTACTCCTGTCATCCTACTAAAAAAAAACTGTAATCTGAGGATTACAGTTCAAAGTCAGCCAAGGCAGAAAAGCCCATGAGCCTCTTATCTACAATAAACCATCAAAAAGTCAGAAGTGGAGGTGTGGCTTAAGTGGTAGAGTAAAAAAAAAAAACAATGAAGAATGAGAGATCTGGAATTCAAGTTCCAACATGGAACTTGACTACTGGACATATTTGACACATTTAAAACTTGTATCACTCTTAACACAGTGAGGAGAATCAACAGCCATCACATGCTTGGATTTTCCTCATTCCCTGTTGTAAGCCATGTCCCATGCTTTATGACCACATAAACTGAACTACTACTGGTCTGCTTTATCATGAGTAGCTTGCATTTTCTGGAATTTTGTATAAAGTGAATCATATAGCATGTGTTTATTTTCTATCTGCCTGTTTTCATTCATTCAAATTAGTCTGAGATTTATTTATACTTTGTGAGTTTTCCTTGTTATTACTGTCATTGAGCAGAATAATTTGTACATATAAATGTCTGGGGATGTTTGGGTTTCATTCAGCATAGGGATATTCCCAATGAAACAACTGCAAACATTTCATACAAGTATTTATGTGGATATGTGCTTTGAGTTCTTTCAGGTAAATGTCTAGAAATGGAATGCTTACTCATAATATTTTAAGAAGGTATCAAACTGATATTCAAAATGGATGAGCTACTTTACATTCCCACCAGCATTGTAAGCAGTACCAATCAGTTGCTCTAAATCCTTGCCAACAATCTGTATGGTTGGATTTTTTTTACTTTTATGTACTCTAATAAGTGTGTGTTGGTACTCTATTGTCGCTATAACTTGCATTTATTTGATGAATAATGGTGTTGAACATATTTTCATATGCTTATTTGATGTCCTTAGACCTTTGCTGATGAACTGCCTCTTTGAATGTTTTGAATGTTTTTAGGTTGGTTGTTGCTTTGCTTATTAAGTTTGAATTCTTTGTATACTTTTGGATAGATGTCTTTTAAGAAATATTGGTATTACAATTTCCCAAGTCTGTCACTTGTCTTATTATTTTCTTCATGGTTTGAAAAGTGTAAATTCTTTAGTTTGTTCAAGTCCAGTTTATAATTTAGCTACCATATGTTTATGTCATTTATAAGAAGACTAATCCAACTTTTAGGTCACAAATTTCTCTTCAAATGATATCTATATTTTAACTGCACATTTTATATATAGATAGATGAGTAGATCAATTTTAGTGTATTAAATTATCAGTTATAAATTTTAATATATACAAATATTCTTATTTTGTGTTATCAACTATATACTTCAACTTTATTAAAGTTAGTTCTAAAAATAAATATAAAAATATATATACATAAATATAAATATAAATTTTCTTCTGGGATGTTTTTCATAGATCATTTGACTTTGATTCTTTTTCTTTCCCCTTTATTTTTGCGTTTCTTTTCTTTTCTTTTCTTTTCTTTTGCTTGAGACTGTTAGATGATGTTGAAAAGGAAGGCAAAAGTCAGTATCTCTCTTGTTTCCCATCTTCAGAGGAAATGAATACATTGAAGTTTCGCATATGATGTTAACTATAGGATTTTGTGTGGTTGCCCTTTGGCTAGTTGAAGAAAATCTCTAATAATTTGTTGAAAAAACAATTGCTTGAGTATATTTATAAGAATGATATAGGAATTTTAAAAAATAGTTTCATGATGTGAGATGGTTAATTGTATGACTTTTCTTTTTTTAGCTTATTTGATTTTTCCATTTTTAAGCTAGCCTTGCTTCTCTAGAATCCACACATGTCTGTCTCTAGAATAGATAAGGTAAGGATGTACATCATTTTTATATATTGTCAGGTTTGATTTACTTACCTGCTAAGAATAATTGCAGCTGGGTGCTAGAGGCTTATCCCTGTAATCTTAGCTAAGGAGGAGGCTGAGGTCTGAGGATGTCAGCTCAAAGCTAACCAGAGCAGAAAAGTGTGTGAGACTTATTTCCAATTAACCAGCGAAGAGCCAGAAGTCAAGGTGCAGCTCAAGTGGTAGAACATAGACTTCAGTGGGATAAAGAAAAGCCAAGCCAGAGTGTGAGGTCCTAGTTGAAGCCCCAATACCAGCACACACAAAATAAGTTCTTATCTATACTTTATGGAGGCTATTAGTCAATAGAGCTTATAATCTTCTTTCTCTCTCTTTCCTTCCTTTTTTCTTTTTTCTTCTCTTCCCTTTCCTTCCTCCCTCCCTTCCTCCCTCCCTCCTTCCTTCCTTCTTTCCTCTCTTCCTTCTTTCTTTCCTCCCTTCCTCCCTCCTTCCTTCTTTTACATTCATTTTTCTTGTGATACAAGAGTTTCAGCTGATGGGCTGGGAAGGTGGCTCAGTGGTAGAGCGCTTGCCTTGCATGCATGGGGCCCTGGGTTCGATTCCTCAGCACCACATAAGCAAAAAGAAAAAAGCCGGAAGTGGCGCTGTGGCTCAAGTGGTAGAGCGCTAGCCTTGAGCTGAAGAGCTGAGGGACAGCGCCCAGGCCCAAAGTTCAGGCCCACAACCAGACCTCCCCCCTCAAAAAAAGAGTTTCAGCTGATAACTTTACACTTGCTACACATGTCTCCAATGCACAATATTCTTTACTCCCTTTACATTACCCATAGAGTCTTCAGTGAACTCACTTTTCTCATTCTTGGTAGTGTGTGTGTGTGTGTGTGTGTGTGTATGTGTGTGCTTGTTCTTTCTGATCAGTTTGATTAGGGCTTTATGACGTTTCTTCATTTTCAAGAGGCAGCTTTGAGTTCATTGGTTTCTGTTACTTTCAGTTTTCTAGTTTTGGGTGGTTGAAACTGAGGTCAATGATTTGTGACCCATTTTTCCACAATATAAACATTTGTGTTATAAATTTCTATGCAAATACCATTTTAATTGTGTGTACTTAATTTGTATTTTTTCATTTTTATTTAGCTTGTGGTATTTTCTCTATAGTTCTGGATTCATCTTCTGATTCATATTCTCATTTATCTATGCAGATCATTTAAAAGTGTGTTAATTAATTTCCAGATACTTAAAATTTTCAGGATATTAACAATGTTATTCAGTCTAGCTAGTTTAATGACTAAATTAATTCCACTTTTGTTAGAGAACATATACTATATGACTTGAATCCTTGTACATTTATTGAAACTTGTTTTATGCCCCAGACCATATTCCATTTTACATATTATCTGTGCGAATCTATTGTGACTAGGTGATGCTTTAATAATGTTAAGTAGGTTGAGTAGGTTAATAGTCCTGTTTAACCTTTGAATATTCTTACTGATTTTCCGGTCTATTGTTGAGAGATATGTGACTATAAGTTTGAACTACTGCATTTTTATTTGTTTTGTTAGCTTTCATCCACATATTTGAAGCTTCATTATTGTGTATATATAACCAAAATACTATTTTCTCAAGATGAGATTCTTTTGTCCTTTTAAAATAAAACATTCATTCTTGTTACTCTAAAATGTATTTTGTCTTTATTTTTATGTGTTAACATGGTGTATCTTTTACAGAAATAGCTACTGCTGGTTCCTATAGATACATTGCTTATAACTCTGTCAACTTTCCCTCCCTGACTCACTTTTTTCTTGCTTTTCTTGTGTAGAAGAAGTTATTATAATACAATACTACCAGCCATATGGACCTAAAAATGTCTAGCCTTTTCTTAGCATTCTATGGATAGGCTTCTAGCGACATTTTTTTTAATGTTTCCAGAGCTATTGGCAAAGATTTGGCCTCCAAAGGTACTGTTCTGAAAGTTAAAAACATATTTATATTGTTTATTTTTCTTTTCCCAAGGTCTAGAATCATACTTGGCCTGAAATAGTGTCTCATTAACTATATGCTGATTGAATTTTGACGTATGGGAAATACTTAATAATTTAAAAGTAAGCATATTGACAATATATTTTAGGTTTCCTTGGTTGGTTTGTTGATATATTTACAGAAGCTCTATTATCTTCTAGTCTCTTTTTATTTAGTAGACAAACAAAGATTTCTAAATTATATTAGGCCTATCATAGGAGGGATTCATTGTTTCTTTGATGATACTGGGCACCACAGAAGCACTTGCAGCAGGAATCACTTGGATGCCAAGCTAAACTTACCTCTCCACTACTACCCTTCTACCTTTTTCAATATTTTATTGTAAATTATTTTTTAACTATGAAAAATGTGGGAGAATCATCACCTGTTTTTATCATTTGATATAGTCATCGTGATATTTCTTTCCTAAATTTTCCAGAACATGTTTCCTGGTAATAATGTTTTTATCCTATATAGGCACAATACTATTACCACAAATATAAAAAATAATGGAACCATAATATTATCTAAGGTGTTGTTCCAATTAAACTTCTCTAATAAAAATGGTTCCCCCAAAAGTATTTCATAGCTGTTTTTTCCTATCAGTATGTAATCAATTTACAAACATTGCTATGTGGTTATCAAATATCTTTAATACCTTTCAATTCAGAATAATTACATGGCTTCTTATGTCTACTTGCTTTTTTTTTTTTTTTTTTTTTGCCAGTCCTGGGGCTTGAACTCAAGGCCTGGGCACTGTCCCCGAGTTTCTTTTCTCAAGGCTAGCACTCTACCACTTGAGCCACAGTGCCACTTCTGGCTTTTTCTGTGTGTGTGGTACTGAGGAATTGAACCCAGGGCTTCATGAATGCTAGGCAAGCATTCTACCACTGAGCTACCTTCCCAGCCCTGTCTACTTGCTTTATAAGACATTTTTGAGGAATCAAAGAAAATTATACTATATTCTGTATATGCTTGATTACTACTTTATGTTTGATTTATATGTAATATTTGGAACAAGAGTACTTCACATATTCTTAATCCACTGTAATGGGAATTCTATATGCTGTCACCTCACAACTGGTA